GAGAGAGAAACATCAATGATGAGAGAGAATCATCGCTCGACTGCTTCCTGCACGCCCCACACTGGGGATTGAGCCCGCAACCCCGGCATGTGCCCCTGGCCGGAATGGAACCTGGGACCCTTCAGTCTGCAGGCCGACGCTCTATCCACTGAGCCAAACAGGCTAGGACTGAAGCTGTGGTTTAGTCATCTGTGCAACTCTTACTCCTCCCAGCCTGTTCTTTGCCAAAAGCCACCATCAGGCCCATGGATCTACACGTGGACAACTCCTTCCATGTGTCTGGATCAAAAGGAATGACTATTTCCCCCCGCCTTATTGTCTTAAATGTTTCATGCCAAGAAAAATACATCGTGCCAAGAAAAAAAAGGGGAGATATGTAAGGGACGGGGAACATAACCAGAAAAAAGGGTTAAAAAAAAGAAGAGAACTTTGAGCAGGCCAGTATTGCAAAGATATTCTAGGCAGGGCAAAAGCCCTTGAAGACATGTCACTAGGTTGGAAACAGTCGTCTACCACCATCTCCTGCTCCACACCCTACCCCCACCTGGCACATTAACTGTTCCAGAAGGCCAAGGCTACCACCTCGGATTTCTGTAGCACCCAATTCCATCATGAGAGCAAATGTTGATACTGGGGTTAGAGCCTCTGCTACCATCAGAGAAATCTGACAGTCTCTGGAACATCAGTTACCAGTGAGGAAGAAAAATCAGCTCTTTGTTCTTCTGGCTCCTCTCTTCCTATTATGTAAACTTGGGCTTTGGGCATGCAGAAATGTTCTATCCTGCCAGTGGTGCTAAAACCCTGGAACACAGAGCAGTACTGCACACACAGTTGTCTGTATTCTTAATTAGCTGCCATTTCCACATTAAGATTTTTAAAAATCTATTTATACCGCCCAGCCGGTGTGGCTGAGCAGTTGAGCAATGACTTAGAACCAAGAGGTCACGGTTTCGATTCCCGGTCAGGGCACATGCCCTGGTTTTGGGCTTGATCCCCAGTGGGGGGGGTGCAGGAGGCAGCTGATCGATGATGTTTCTTTCTCATGGAAGTTTCTCTCTATCCCTCTCCCTTCTTCTCCAAAACACACACACACACACACACACACACACAACACACACAACTATTTATACCAACATGGGGACCATAAAATTCAGAGAATTAATCATAATTCACAAGGCCAAAATTCAGAAATTAACAGAAACCAGGGAAAATGAATCAAAATTCTTAAGTCAATAATGGTGAAGATACATGCCATACATAATTAAAATTACCAGCCTCTGCTTGTCAGAAAATTTAAAGTTCTAAGAAGTTAGAAGCTAACAGAGCCATATGGATCTACTACCCAGCCAGCCCTGCCCATTGTCTTACATACAAATGCCCTAACATGTGATGAGTCAGTCGGTCAATGGTCCAATTTTGTAGATGACAGTCAATGTTTTTTTATTTCAAATGTGTTCACATAAAACTATTTTTAAATAAGTGCTGAAGTAAATAAAGTTTGATCATAACTCAGTTAAGAAATAGAGTCCTTCCAGTAAATGTTCCTTCACAGCTGGATGGATGCTTTAATATGCAATTGCCCTAGGCCAATTCCTAAGGGGGGAAATCAGGCTTTTGATTTACTTAAGAAGTAAAATAAATAAACCTAGGACATGCAAAAGGTTCCCTCTCCTAAGTTAAGGAAGGAAAATAGTTGGATGGCTTTTCTGTAAAAACCACCTCTTCCTCTGAATGAATTTCCTAAACCCCACCCCCAACATAAGATCACTGAAGAAAACAGCTCAAGGAAAGGTGGCTAAGCTACATTTCCCAGGTAATAAGACCAAAAATCCAACCAAATCTGCCAGTTTCTGGCACCGCTTTCTCACTACCAAATCAGGTCCCTTAAAAGGCTTGGGGCACGTCAGGGCCCACCCATATAACCCTGTACATCACTGAGCCCCTTCCCCCCACAATCCAGCATGAATCTGCCCGGAGGCATTCAACTCCTGTGGGTGGAAGTGCCTGCAATACCAGAGGGCAGAAATCTGAGTGACACTTGGCACTCTCTTTCAACAAACAACCGCAAAGAGCTTTCCAAACCCAGGCCCTCACTATTTTCAAGACCAGGAAGTTGAAGCCTTCCTGGGGCAGAGGTAAAAAAGAAATAAGCCCACTCTCCCCTACCCCTCCCACAAGTTACACTGCAAGCCAGAGGCCATTAGAGAAGGCAGGACTCCTCTGCAGACCCAGAGCAGTAAATACTAAGTGTGTCCATAACCCCTGGTTAGATTGGGGAGAACTTGAGAACTGGCATTTCCCCAGACAGAGGTAAAACAAAAATATGACTTGTCGGCTGCATAACAAAACAAAACAAAAAGCACACTCCTAAGTTCTCCCAAAGGGTGCTGGCTTGGAGGTGGAAGGGGGAGAGGGTACAACTGTCTCTTTACAATAGCTCAGAGAAAGGGGGGGAGGGAAAAAGAGAAGCAAGACCTGTGAGCAGCTGCACTCTCCTTTTCCGAAGGACACAAAGCAGCAAAGCCCAGGGAACTGAAGGGACAGGGGATCAAAATGGGAGAGGAAAAGAAAATGGGGCGCTGGAAAGAGATCTGCCCCCACTACCACGACTAACCTTGGTAACGGGGGATGGGGAGATGGGGGGACACTCCCAGACTCCAGAGAGCAGTGACCAATCAACCAGCACCCACCGATGTACCCAGATCTCACAGGATCCCTCAGGATAAACCCTCAGGATCAGGGAGCAGAGGGAATGTGCAGTCTAAATCAGAGCCTAGAGAACCCTAGAACCCACCCAGCCCCCTCCTCTCCAAAGCTGAGCATGGAAACTAGAGGAAGACATGCCTGAAGAGGGGGAGCACCCAGTGGGGAATGGGTGGGGCCCGGGAGGGGAGCTAGGAGAAGCAAGTCTGATAACTTAATGGGAAGAGCCTGGCAGGATACTAGGGGAAAGAAAAGGTAAGGGAGGAAAGACACCAATGAGGAACAAAATTGGGAGAGGGGTTTCAAAGGGAGGAAGAGTCCATCCAAAAACTCAGGAGGCTCCAAGAGGGGATTCTGGGGCTGGGGAGGCAGGCGATGATAGGAAGGAATGCTTGAAAAGACAGCTCTAATATTGGGCAGAATTCAGGGAAGGAGGACTCAAAAAGAAGGTATGAGGCAGGGCAAAGTGGGGAGGGCAAATACCAGAAAGGAGAGAGTGGAGGTTGAGAGCTGAATCAAGATGGTGGGGGGAGAGAAGGTCAGGCGGTCATCTCAGAGCTGAGAAGCCGCAGGGGTGGAGGCGGTTAGGAGAAGCCCGGGGTTACAGAGGACCACTGCAAGCAGGGACAGCAGTAGGGAAAGTTGAAACGGGTCCAAAAACATAGGTGAGCAAGTGGACAGCTCCAAGGAGGCAGAGCTGGGAGGAAGACATTGGAGAGGATGGGGCAGCAATGAACACATGGAAGAGCAGGTGCAAAGAGGACCTGGGGGCCGGTCTATGAGATGAAGGACGGGAAGGGAAGGGGGTGATGGGTCAGAGAGAAGTTATCGGTGCTTTAATGAGGTAAAGGGCCAAAATGGAGACGAGAGGACTTGGAGCAAAAAAAAAAAAAAAAAAGAGGAAAGAACTGAAGGGGAGACAGGTCAAAGACAGGGGGAGCAAATGAATGGAACGGCTCAAGAATGGCAAAGACGAGGTGGGAAGAGAAAACCCTCAAGAACCCTGGGGCAGACTGAGTCCTCGGGGCAGCACCGAGGCCGCGGAGAGGCTGGGCTAGGGAGAGACGGGCTGGGCTAGGGAGAGTCGGCAGAGACGTGCATGGCAGAAACGAGCGCTCTGCAGGGTCAGAGATGGGGAGGAGGCTGCTTCCAGAAAGGCAGGGTCAGTCGAAAAGCAAGCAGGTTAGGGGGCACAGCAAGAGCTGGAATTGGGCAAGGGGTAGAAGAACCGGGAGGCAGACAGGTCTGGAAGAGAGGGAAGGGTCTGAATAACAAAAAAAAAAGAAGAAAGATGGGAGGAGAGGGAGGGGACAGCATGAGGGACCGGGCCAGAGCTGAGGTGTGGAAGGTCACAGAGCAGGGG